GGTTAGGAGTCTTACTGCCGAGTTTTGGACAAGCTGAAAACAGTTTAACTGTTTCTGGTTAAGACAGGTGAACAAGCTATTACAATAGGTGAGCTTGTGGGTGGTGGAGTCATTAAAGGAGCAGTTTAGCTGTAGGTCATCTGCATAGAAATGGTAGGAGATGTGATGACCTCAGTTAGGGGGAGGATTTAGAGCAGGAATAGAATTGGGCCCAGGATGGAACCCTGTGGAACTCTGCAGGTGAGTTTGGCTGAGTCAGAGAGAGATTGACCTAATAAGACTGAGAAAGAGCTGTGATTTGAACCAGTCTAGCACCACCCCCGGACATCCCTATGTCTTTCAGATTTTGAAGGAGAATAGAGTGATCGACAGTGTCAAACGCTGCGGACAGGTCCAGTAAGAGGAGGACAGAGTACATGCCTCTATCAGCAGACATTAGCAGATCATTTGATACACGAAGGAGGGCAGTCTCTGTAGAGTGAGATCTGCGGAAGCCAGATTGAAAGTTGTCGAAAAGATTATTTACATCCAAGTACGAYGTTAGTTGTACTGAAACAATTTTCTCCAAGACCTTAGACAAAAATAGTAGCTTTGAAATGGGCCGGTAGTTATTCAGATCAGATGGGTTTAAAGATTGCTTTTTAGTATGGGTTCCACAACTGCCTTTTTAAAGGATTCTGGGACACATCCTGATGTGAGAGGTTTAGCAAGTCCACAAGTGTCAGTCCTACTACGTCAAAAACAGCTTTAAAGAATCTGGGAGGTAAGATATCAAGAGGGGAGGGCAGATGGTTTCATTTTTTGGATTATGGTCCCAAGATTATTCACAGTTACCAGATCAAAAGAAGACCAGGAAGGAGTGAGACTGTTCTCGGGGGGTTGTGAAAAGRAGCATGAGACGGTTGAGTTGAGATGCTGTGCCGGATGTTCTCATTTTTAACGACAAAGTGTGTTAGGAAGTTGTTGGGACTGGCAGGTGAACAGGCATCAGGAGAGGAAATGACCGGGGAAACCAACGTGTAACCAACTTCCACTATTGTTAATGATACACTGTAATACTGAATGCAGTTAATTTTAGTCTGGGAAAAGAGAACCAGTTTAACTTGATTTGCATATGCTTTGTGTGTGTGCGTGCGTGTTAAGCCAAGCCAACGGAAATAAATACCGGTTCTGCCAAATGTTTGTCGTCTAAACGTTTCACTGTGAAACTAACTTTGCACATTTGCCTGGATGAATCTCACTGAAGCCAATGACACCTCATTAAAATCAAACTATTTTATAATAAAAACGTTTATATTATTTTGTAAAAGTTGCAAAGGGATGATGTTTTTTTTTTTCGTTACGTTGTCTCTGAGGAGGAGGAGTGCAGGTGGATTTTGTTTAGCGTTCAGAATAAATCCAAATAAAATTTGTGTTTAACCTGTCACTGAAAAACCTCCCGTTCTTTGGTTCTCAAACATAGCTGTTTTATTCCAAACAAAGCAGAGACTTAAACCAACACAAAGCTATAAAGGGGTGTCCAACATAAAACAAACTTTGTCCCATTTCTTTTCCTATGTTCTTGCTTCTGCAGCATTGGCCACAAAGGCACAGCATCAGGAAGAGGCTCTGCCCCTGCGAGCCGCCCTGAGGAACCAGCCTCCTTCACCTGTGTCATTGTGACGAGGAAAACACACCCTTCACAGGTACACCGGAGTCTCAGGTG